CATCGCGCTCGACGCTACTGCTCCCTCCGCTACTGACCAACCCATCAACAGCATGTGCCGGCAACTCATTGGTGACGTTCGAAAACATCCCCCAATCCGCCTCGCCAATCTGCTCGTCGAAGAATTGATCCAGATCCAACCCCATCATCTCCGCCTCGTCGCTCACGCGAAGGTGCATGCCTGGGATATACTTCAGGATGAGTAGCAAGATGCAGCTTACGACGAAGCCTGCACGGGTATTTTAGTAACAGTCAAGATAGCTCGCAAGGGCCACTGCTGGAGGTAGACTTACTGTACGATGAGATCGCACCAATCTCCGCAAATTGCCTCCCAACTTGCGCACCGTTACCGTTCCAGCCGCCAGGTGAGAGTGACGAGCCGTCGAGGAAAGAGATGGCTTGGTCGGCGAAGATGCCGGTGAGGAATGAGCCGATCATCCCGCCGATGCCGTGCAACTTGAAAACGTAGAGGCCTTCGTCTATGCCGAGCCACTCATTCAAGTCCTGGAGTGAAGCGCACACGACGGCTGTGATGAAGCCGATGAGCGCGGCAAACCAACAATTGACGTAGCCTGCAGCCTTGAATCATATGTGGTAGAGTCAGCAGCTATCGTGATTCCAAATTCGACTTTTAGAGTGTGACTTACAGGAGTGATGCCGACCAGCCCAGCGATGGCACCCTCGCAAGCTCCCACGACGCTGAATCGCCCGCGGCTACGTATGTAATCGACCATGACCCAGCCGAGAACGCCAAAGCTCGCTGCCGTGTTGGTGTTGAAAGCGGCATACATTGCGCGGACGGAGGCGTTGAGCGCTGAACCGCCATTGAACCCGAACCAGCCAAACCAGATCAGGATCGTGCCGAGAAAGACGAGAGTAGTGTTGTGCGGCTTGCCGTGACTCTTCTCGCCTTGGTGCTTTCTCTTGCCTAGTACAACAGCGTACGCCAGCGCAGCCCAGCCAGAGGCGATGTGTACGGGCCCTCCGCCTGCGAAGTCCAACGAAGGGAGTTTGTAGAGCCATCCGTTGCTGTTCCAGGTCCAGCATGCGATGGCTATTCTACTATTAGTATCCGACGGCAGATCAGATGGTCGTCGTACGCACGACAGTAGACGATAGTCGCCCAGAAGAAGCCAAATACCAAAGACGGAACGATGCGTCCACGCTCAAACGAGCCCCCGATAACGATCTGTACCGTGCAGGCGCAGAAAAGCATCTGGTACAAGCAGAATACGATCTCAGGAATGACTGCCGAGCTAGGCGACGGCGCAGCCTGCACCTTCATCATGCCGAAGTTCGCCAGATCCCCGATGAATGCATTCGCGGTGCGACTGTACGCCAGACTGTAGCCCCAGAACATCCATTGGAACGTTGTTACGGATGCGACTAGCAAGCTCTGGAACAGCAGGGAGAGACTGCTTTTGCGACGCGCAAGGCCGCCATACATGAGGCCGATACCGGGAATGATGATCCAGACGATGAAGCCGCAGAAGATGAGGTAGGTGTAGTGGTATTCGAGGCCTGCGTATTGCGCGTTGACGTCTACCAAACCATTGCTGGAGTCGCCTCCCCAGGGGTGCTCAGGATCGAATTTGGGCTGCGCATTTGATTAGCAGCGTTGTTTGCGATTTGAGATGCGACACCTACAGCTTGCGCCATGCTTGCGTGCTCTCAGGGAGAGGTGCTAGAGGACGGGGAAAGAGAGAGACAGAGGAAACGAATGTCACCTTCAGCATGGCGCGCCCCTACCTGGTCGTTATGTACTATCCAGTCACGCACGCCCATTCAGGCGTGATAGCAGACGCGATCATCCGCACTCATAGATGACACTCGCGTGGCCGTCCGCCTAGCATGCTTCCACAAAGCTTGGCCTGATAACAGCAGCCGGGCGAGATTGTTTGGGCGCCGGAGCGCTCGTCCCCGGCGAACTTGGCATCCAAAGTGGAGCACGTTGGCGGAACCACGGTTGCGGAAAACAAAGATTGCCCCGTGTATCACAGGTGCGGCAAGATGTGCCAAGTGGATGTCGGGATAGAAGGGCAGGAAGAGGAAAGGTTGGGATTCGGCTGCTGCCATAGGTGCAGCGGGCGACGCCGATATGGGTCTTGGCATTCCTCTGCGTTTCACGTAACTTTTGGATGCGCGAACGATGGTCTTGTCCAACGATCCCGTTCCGATACGCAGTCAATGAATGATACCTGGTACTATTCATGCCTTTCGTCGTACGAGACATCAACGTCTCCATGGTCGTCTAACACCATCTGTCATCACACGAATACGCAACGATCACGTGTACTCTGGCGCAGGTCATCATACACGAGACGGAGACGGGACCGCTGTGGCACATCCGGCAAGAGCGTCAATCTCCACGGTACTGACCGAACAGTACCGCCCTTTGGAACGATCTTGATCGCACTTGGGTGTATGCCTTGGGGCACGGGTGGCAGACAGAGTGCGGAAGACAGGTCACCCGGTTGTTTTGCCAAACACTTTGCCAGCGGATAGAGCGATTCGGTTCGGGACGACCTGACGCTCGCGTATTCGAAAGCTGCAGAGAGGTAGCTGCAAATTGTGGTGTGGATTTCGCAAGAGCATCACGTCTAGAAGATCGGTGCGTCAAGGCAAGGCAGCGCTGACCGCGTCGTAGTATAGAAAAGGCAGCCCGGGGCGGCTCTCGGATTCGGAATAAAAATGTCGGCAGCGTTGTAAGATCTCCCTTGATCGCTCGGTCAAGCGTCAACGAGTGATGGAGTGGTGTCCGTGTATGGTCACGACGAGGACATCGGCGTGTACATTACGTTGGCGCGCTTGTGTTGAGCCCTTACTTCGTGGCCAGCGTGTCAAAGTACCATTGCTCCGTAGTATGTACACTCCATTGCGCTCTTCCCGCCCCAGCCACTCCGCCTGTGTATAGCTCGCTCAGTGTGTGTGGTTCTTGTGGTGACCTAGGCTTTGTCAGCGCCTCCAGTCCGGCAATCGTCTGAAGATACATACGCAGATGGAAGTAGTAGTTCTGTGCGTAACCGAGGACCATGAAGAAGCCCACCACGTGCACAATCGCTGCGTGTTCGTTAGCCCGCCGCTCTTTGCTTCGCGGCAAGTGTATCCTTATCCCAACTTACGCATGACTGATGCGTTCCTCCCGGTCATATATCTCAAGCTGTACCACTCCAAGACACCCCTCGCCTTTGGCTTCGGTGCCGGACCACGCGGAAGCTTCTCGTAGAAGCCGACCACTCGCTGCATGCGAGCTGCGTCGGCGGCGCCGCCGATGGCCTGAGTAGAGCACTGTCAGTCCAGATTCTTTTCCTGTACCTCTTCTTCGTATTCCAGAGGATTGTAGCGGTTCGCCGAATCCGCAACTGGCATTGGCGGTGTCTGACGGTTGCTGCGGAGGGGGAACGGAGGCGCGAAGGACTTACATTCGGCGAGGCAATCTGCGCGCAATGTGTCAGCAACAGTACCACTCCAGTATGAAAAGCACGCACCTTCGGTGGGACAAGTGAGGAGACCATGTTTGCGATGTTCGTGCTGTGCCGGTGCTGCTGGCGAAGGAGCGGCTTGAAGTTGAAGCTTGCGGTCTCGTCGTGCCAAGTCCGCGGGTCCGAGCGTCTCGAGCATTGGACAGCGTGAACAACGCTTCCACTCACATATCTGCCACCCTCTCTCACATACCGCGGCACCTCACGATGACTCCAACATATCGAGCAGCGGCAAACACACTGCGCACAGCAGCCCGACCCACACTCTCCCTTCGCGCACCTTTCATTGCCCGGGTACAGGCCGCGAGATGCATATCTGAGGAGGCACCTCGAAAGGTCTCGCCCGATGACCCGCCCTCGGGAGAAGCAGGCAGGAAGTCACCACAGAATCTGACGCGAACGGAAGAGGGTGCATCAGGGGGACAGCCAAAGCACCAGCCAGACTACAACGTTGCAGCGGACTATCGGACATCGTAAGAGGGTGCAATGGGAGGACGGCCAGCTACGGTGCTGATATGGCTCTCAGGAACTTCTCGCCAGTACCGATGCGTGTCATGGATGGCAGCGAGCCAGGTATCGATACCCCTGCAGCCGTGCTCTCTGGCGCACCAATGGATCTGCAAGCCCGCACGGTCCGGTATGCTCTTGTCAGACCACATCCGCGATGCGCGCAACTACTGACAAGTCCCCGTAGCATCTACCGACCGGCCAAAACTCCAACCCAATCCGGTACATGGCACGGTCACCACTGGCGCATGGACTGGGACGTACTATCGAAAGGCCACCGCTGGGAGAACCCGCTCATGGGATGGCAGTCATCCGCGGACTTCATGCAAGGCACGCATCTGAACTTCAACAACAAGGAGGATGCGATCAACTTTGCGACGAAGCAGGGGTACGAGTACTTCGTGCAGGAGCCGAATGAGAGGAAGATGATTCCCAAGGCGTATGCGACGCAGTTTGTCTACCAGGCGAAGAAATTGAAGGAGGTCCGGACGAAGTGAGCGAGCTTCCGGCCGTAGCCTAGGAGATGACTTGAGCAGCTTGAGGATGGAAGACCTCCCGCGCCTCACACGGCCAAGCCTGAGGATGAGCTCCCAATAATGTTGAGGCTTCGGCATGACGAGCAAGACGCACACATTGTCAAGAATCTATCAATGCCGGAGTCCTGCTTGGTTGTGATTTGAGGCGACCTACTCCACCACGTAACTTCCGTTGAAACAGCGTGGAGTGGCCATTAGCTCTCGGATGCCATCACGGCCCTTCTCGGACAGAGGTGGATACTCATATTTGATAAGGTAGCAGATAACATGCTCTTGTTCTTCCTCCTGGTTCACCTTAACCGTCCATGTGAAGGGAGAGAGCTTTGCGAAGTGTGATCATGGTATCTGCTGCTGCTTTGTTGTTCTCTCGAAGGCTCGAAGTAGGCGGGCATTCCGTCGGTCGTGGTCCCTGCCATGACATGTAGAAATATTCAGAGCTATATAAGTTCTTACGGCAACATTACTGAAAATCTTGCGGTTGTATAGTGTAGTGGATAGCACGCCAGATTCTGATACTTTCGATTTCTGGCGACCCCGGTTCGATCCCGGGTACGACCTGTAACCACCTCAACTCCTTCAGTGAGAGACGTGCTTTTTGGCAACCTCAGCTATCTTGAATGAGCTGCGAGTGACGGGCGGTCTGTGAATCCAATGATGGATGGTCTTTTTGCACACTTTTGGTGTACCAGGTACCTAAGGTGCACGCATTATTTAGTCGTTGCTGCTGGCCGTGATCGGGGCAAACCCCACCACAGCTCCAGTCGCTTCATTGAGGGGCCAAAGAACGGCAGAGCGAATGAGAATGACCTCCACCAACACCACCACCCCGTCCCATCGCATTGAACTTCCATTTCATGACTCTCGGACCCGCTTACACTCTTTATCGTACCCTTCGAGCAACGACACCGAGGCTTCATCATTTTAGTCCAAGCCACCTCCTCCGCTCCCTCCTCCCACAGGTCGCCGTCCGCACCATGTCCTCCGCCATGAGCAAGCGCCTCGAGGGCAAGACGGTCGTCGTAACGGGCGCATCTTCCGGCATTGGGAAGGCAACAGCCGTTGAGTTTGCCCGAACATTCCCGAAGAACCTCAAGCTCATCATCACCGCTCGCCGAATTGACACCCTCAAGCAAGTAGCCGAAGAGATCAAGAAGGAAGTCGGCGAAGGCGTGAAAGTCCTCCCGGTCCAGCTCGACATCAGCAAGCCCGACCAAGTGCGCAAGTTCATTCCCAACCTCCCCAAGGAGTTCCAGGAGATCGATGTTCTCGTCAACAACGCCGGCCTGGTCAAGGGCGTCGACAAAGCGGGCGATATCAAGGAAGAAGATATTGAGACCATGATGCTCACGAACGTCAACGGCCTGATCAACATGACACAGGCCTGTCTGCAGGTCTTCCGCAAGCGCGGCGAGTCCGGGCAAGGCGATATCATCAACATTGGATCCATTGCTGGCAGGATGGGCTACCCGGGTGGGAGTATTTACTGCGCCACGAAAGCTGCGGTGCGTACGTTCACCGAGGCGATACGGATGGAATTGATCGCGACGCGGATACGGGTGATGGAGATCGACCCGGGACAAGTGGAGACTGAGTTCAGCGTGGTGAGATTTGGCGGGGATAAAGCAAAGGCGGATAAAGTGTACGAGGGTGTGACGCCCCTCACGCCGGACGACATTGCGGAGACGGTGGTGTTCGCGGCGGGCCGACCAGAGAATGTGGTCATCGCGGATATGCTGGTGTATCCCAATCATCAGGTGAGGGCTCCTTTCTATGTGTACAAGCGTGATGGTGCTGACGAACGCACAAGGGAGCGGCGACGGTCATGCATAGACGAACATAGACGTGAGACTGACGAAGTACTAGGGAGCCGCAACGGTCATGCACCGGAAGCCCGTTGCTCAGAGCTCGAAGATGTAGATGCCATGTACAGCGAACTACTTTACACAATGCGAAGGTCCCCATCCTACTTCGACGGGTCAAGCAGCAACTTGCCGGTCGTCTTCCGACCCTCGAGATCGTTGTGCGCCCTCGCCACATCACTGAGCGCATAGGTCTCGTGGATCCTGGCGTCCAGCTTGTCCTCCGTTATGAAATCCATCAGTTCGTCGACATAATGCTCGAACTCTTCCCTCGTCGCAATATAATTGAACAGCGTCGGCCGCATCAGCCGCGCATTCTTCGCCGATAATCGCCCTATGGTCACTGGCGGCACAGCTCCACTCGCGTTTCCAAACGACGCCAGACTGCCTTTCCGAGCGAGACAGTCGAGCGAGAGATCGAAAGTCGTCTTCCCGACCCCGTCAAACACCGCGATGCATCCCGCATCCTTCGTGAGCTCCATCACCTTGCTCTTGACATCCTCATGGCTGTAATTGATCATATGCTCCGCCCCGGCCTTCCTCGCCAAGTCAACCTTCTCCTGCGTCGACGCCGTCCCAATGATATTCGCCCCCACAGCCTTCAACAACTGCACAAGCCACAACCCCGTCCCGCCCGCCGCAGCATGCACCAGCACCCAGTCCCCCTTCTTAACAGGATGCGCCTCCCTTATCAGCGTCAAAGCCGTAAGCCCCTGCAACAGCGCCGCGGCCCCAACCTTCGCCTCCAGACCGTCCTTGACCTTAACCGCTTTCACAGCGTTCGCAGCAGTGTACTCCGCGTACGTCCCCTCAGAAAGCATGAGCACTTTGTCCCCCTCTTTCAGCCCGTACAGCTCGCCCGACCCAGCCTTCACCACCGTGCCCTCCGCTTCCCGACCGAGAATGTAGGGGTACTTGGGCGCGGGGTACAGGCCCGTGCGGAAGTAGGTGTCGATGAAGTTGACTCCTACGTAGTCGTTCTTGACTAGGACTTGGCCGTCGCCGGGGGAGGGGACGGGGAGGTCGGTTTTGTATTGCAGGACTTCGGTGCCGCCTGTTTTCTCGATTATCACGCCTTTCATTTTGGTGGGGAGAGAGGCCATGGTTCGGACGGGGTGGAGGGTTCGGGGGTGGAGGTGGGCGGTGAGGGTTGTTGCGCGGCGGATGGTGGGGGAGAGGAGACGGGGGAGAGACATGCGATGGAATACTGGGAGCTCCGATATATATGTAAGGTACCTTACCTTAAGAGTGGGAGCAAGAAAGGAGGGCTAGACGGCAATGCCGTGAGGTAACGCGGAGTATGGCTTACTGTACAACCCCGCGCTGTTACAAACCCCACGTCAAGTCCGGTCCGAAGAAGCGTTTCTCAGCCGGCAAACCTCACGTTGGCCGACGTCAGTCATATCACTCGTGTGAGGAGACGTACTCTTCATCGTCGTCGCCAACAAGACCGTCATCCAACCTCTATCTCCACCTCCGCCAATCCCATCCTCTTCGCCATCGCCCTCTGCATCCATTCCGTAGGCGGACCCGGCTCCTTCCAATCCCAGTTCTGCTCATTCAGCAACCACGTGTAGAACGTTGGGTGCATCGACTCCACGCAGTCAATCCACTTGATACCCACGTCGAGCTCCTTGACCACCGTCACCATCTTCATGCCAGGTACGCAGTACGCCAGGGTCTCGGCCTCGACCAGGAACTCGAACCGCTGGTTCATGTCGGCTCTGGCCTTCATTAAATGATCGGGCAGGTCGACTGGCTGCTCGAACGGGACCTTCCAGCGCTTGCAGATGAGCTTGCCCATGGTGTGGACGTATTCGTGGAAGCCCTCGCGCTTGCGTAAGAACTCGTAGGTCTCCTCCACGTCGGCATCGGGCAGCTCGACGGCGGTGATCTCGAGACCCATATTCTCGGTGGAGATGCACTTCGCATCGCCGAGGTCGCTGTGTAAGGCGGCGATCTTCGCATACTGCTCTGGCGTGCTGTGGGCGGCGACGCCAGCCTTGAAAATGATGGTCGCCTCGTGGCGACTGAGCCCGACATTGTCCGCTCCCTGAGCCCAGCTGTTGCGGGCCGCCTTGTCGAGGTGTACGTCTGCGTAGGCACCACCAAAGACGGTCGAACAAGCGCTGTTGAAGGCTCCCGGTAGGCTGTGGCCGACAACGGCAAGCTTAGGTAGCTCCTGCTCGGCGACATCGCAGATCGCGCTTGCGGCCAGGATCTGCTGCTTGTACTCTGGGCAGACCGGGTGGACGATCAAATAGTTGTAGAAGTTGCGGAGCACCATCGTGGCGGTGGCGAGCTGCTTCGGGTCGTACCACTGGAAGTGATGCAGGAATTGCGAGGACAGGAAGGCCTTAGCCAATGCCTCGAAATCGACAATCCAGCTCGGCTTCTGCCCTTCCTCGGCTTCCTTCCAGTAGCTGTTGGTGACGTCTTCGAGGAGGCAGTAGTGAGCGCTTGCCAATTCGATTTCCTCCTTGCTCATGCCCTCCCGCTTCATCTGCTTCTTGTTCATGCCACCTTGGAACTGGCCTTTCGCCCGAAATCCGCCGAAGGAGACAAGCTTCTCGAAGATAGCACGCGTGTCTTGATGCATCTTGCGGTTGCTGTTGAAGCTGTTGACGGCAGTCTCCAGCCGGGAAATGATGGTGTCTTCTGGGTGGTACTTCTCGAGTGCTTTCTCATACTCAGAAGGGTTGAGTGGTGTCTCTTCTCTCTCGAAGCCGGTCGGCTTCAGCATGTTCTTGGAGAGAGCCATATTGTGTTTGTTGCCGTTGATGCGTGAGACCGGATTACAAGGTGCAATTGCATGTCCAGGTTTATACAGCTGCCTTATCTTGTGCGGCGCTCTCTTGTCGTTGGTGAAACAACGTAATGGAAGTGAGCTGAAGGCAAGTGAAGTCTGCTCAAAGCCTCCACGTTGCCTCGTACCTTCCTTCGATGTCCACCCTACTCTATTATGCCACGGTGAACCATGCAAGCACATCTTACTTCCACTATCCTCTATAGCATTGCACTTTATCACGCTGCCTGATAGCGAACTGGAAGCTTGAGAGAGCGAAGTAGAAAATCAGCTGTAACCCAGTCAAGTGATTATTGTACCCAGACAAGGTCATCTTGCAACGCTCTGTCACATCACTACGAGACGTCTTTTGGTATCTTCGCCGTCGGGAGATCCGAGACGGAGCCCATCCCTACTCTGCAAGATCAAGGATACCGTAGGTCCACCTCATCTGCTTGGCCAGTACATCTCTGTCTTGCCAATGGCTATCAATTGTGCGTGCACAATCAATATTGTAAGCTGGAAGATCCGCCAAGTATAGGGATTACAAACTCATAAGAAAGTAGTGCTCAAGGTTCGGGTGGAACAGGATAGTACTTGATGCGTTTTCGAAGTGCTTCGTAGACTGCTATGATGAGAATCAGGACGATGGTGGTCACTGTGGGCAGCCTAGTCCGAGCCGCTGTCGTCTCTATGCTCGGCGATGTTGGCCCCCAACAAGAGCATAAGACCGCATCTCGACCTCACAGCCATAGCTCCGGCTCTTGTGACGCCGCTGGTCCGACCGTGTACGGGGAGTAGTGAGTAAGGAGAGTGTCGGTGGTTCCCTGCTGCGGTCCGAGACTTGAGATGGCATTGTTCACCACGCGTCCAGGAAGGCAAGCTGGGGGGAGCATTCGCACGTTTCGATCGCA